TCAATATTATTTAGAGCTCTACATTATATCACAAGCCATGTCATTATGAGATTCATATTATCATTCAATAATTGATAAATTCAATCCGTCATGCGAAGTGATAAGTTATATACTAGCGTGTATTTAAAAGTCAACAATTCAAATTAATTTAGCCTGTGGTAAAATGAAACTTTTTTATTAATTCCATAATTAAATTCATAAGCATTTACTTTTTAATCATTTCATTCACAGCATCTAAGATGCGTGAAAAGATAGCTATCTGCATCTATGATTATATTCGGTCAAAAATACGTAGCATCTGCGCATTATTTCGAATATGCCCACGGGCGTTATTTCGAGATAAAGTTTTAATTTCGGATCGGGTAAATTATAACCTGATTTACTTTATATTAGCGATATGCAAGTAAATCAGATGCATATCGGATGTTTATATCCGATAGGGACGCGCGCATGAGAGTTATTTCGAAAACTATGCTATTTTTTAAGGAGTACGATTTTCGAAATAACGCCCATGCTGCTATTTGAGAATTTACGGTAAATCAAATTATACTTATTTCATTCACTTTTACTCAATCCTTCTTCATGTACTGTGCTTTTTATAATTGATATTTTTCATAGATTCGTAATTAGTTTAAGAACTTGCGAAAAATAATTTTCCATTCAAAATAACTGTAATAAGAATAGCTTAGGCGAGAAATAACCTTAATCCATTCTGTTCACTTTACTGAATAGTTGATTATTTATGTTTAGTGATTAGAAATATTGGCAGTATTAAATATATCATAAGACATTCAATACTAACTCGGATCAAAAAATAGTTTGATTACACCTTATCGAGGTTTCAATAAAATTTCAAGGCTAAATTAATACTACTACATTATACGTACTGAATAATCTAAATAAATATATTTTAAAAATTTATTTGCTTTTTTCTTCCCATTTATCTACCATATTAATTATTCGTTTAGCACAAACATGCCCAAGATCGAAATAATAGTGATTCTGTTCCGGATCAAACATGTAACAATGTGCTTCAATTTCGTCTTTTGAAACACATATAGTAGATGAAAAATAAGATAACATTTCAGGTGGAGGAAGAACTATAAATGTGCGTGGTGAATAAAAAGTCTCATTGGGTGGGATCTTTAAAAAAAAATTTTAGTCATTAAGTGTACATTAAGTGTAAACCTCTAATAAATGATCATAGACAATATTAAAATACCTGCGTATAAAAGCAATGAAAAGTGAGATCTGGTATTTTTATTAAATTTTCTAGCCTGGTTGGTGATAATAAAATTTTATGTTGTGATTTAGTATAATCAATAACAATTAAAAACTTACTTAAAAAATATTTATATTACCTTTGTTTTAGTTCTTCTGGTTTCCACAAAATACCTACAAACTCCAAGTGACTTCCTAACCATTCTACACCCTTACTAACATTATCTTTTTGCATATATACAGCACCACCGACAAGTGCAGCACCAGCTAACGCTGCCAATCCCCATGTACCTAATCCAAGATATGAACTTGATTTAGTAGCAGTAGCAGTTGTGGCAGGTGTTTTCTTAGTTGCAGCATTCGTCATAACCCCCGCTGCCGTCGCAACCGTACTCAATAAAGAATACGTGCTGCTAACTTGTTGTGCTACGCTACTTACGCGTTCCAGTGTTGCTTTTGAAAAAACTCTCTCGTGTACGCCATAATATGGTGTATCAAAAGCAAACAAACCAATAATTTTTGGCGGGATTGGATCTTTCTGGGATGCATACTTGAGAATTGTTTCTGCGGCTGTATTTCAAAAAAAAATAAATAAATAGTACTCTTTTCTAATGACGTTAGATCAAAATTTTTAAATCATACCTAATATGCCACCCATTGAATGTCCAATTAAACAAATCCACACATTACTCTTTTTATCAAGTGAATTGATCTTTTCTTCACATTCCTTAACCTTTAGTTCTAACCATGTACAAAATAAATCTACCGCTTTATTCAGATCTCCTCTTGTTTCATACTGAGGATATACTATTGATTCTGTATCTAAACCCGGCTTTGAACTTGTCAAAAGATGTTGAAGTCTTCCTGGAAAGTCCTATTTATTAAAGTATGAGCACAGATAACTAATTCAAAACAAATCAAGTTGTAAAGATGAAATCTTTAAATACCATAAAAGTATTATCATCGCCTTTAAAGCCATGAATAAAAACTAGTAAGAACTTGTTTAGTGTTTTAGACTCCTTGTTTTCAGACATGTGAATTGTACTGATGGGTTAAGAAGAAAAAAACTGTTAACGTGTAAGTCTCCAATAAATATTTTTGGCAGAACAAATTTTTTCTACACGTGGCAAATACGTACTTATAAATACTGTTTTAAATTGCCCCGGGGTTGTTACTTGTGTGGTGCTATTAACATTAAAGGTAGAATTTCATATAAATCGGGTTGCACCGCAGGACTATCACAGAAGATCCAATTACGGAATTATGTGATAGCATATGACCAAATTCACAAAGAAAATTTTAAATGGACTAGTCTATTTTTATCCAAAATTGAATTGTATAATGAAAAGCTGCGCTCAGCATGAAACAGGTAAGAGTGAATCTAGTGCCAGCCAACGCACGTCCAATTCCTGATATTGACTTTCAAAATTACAATATATGGGTAATTATTTTTGAACCCGCAATTCTTGAATGTATGCCAAGTTGGTGGCACATTGATCAGACCACAGCTCTGCACCGATCAAAATTCAAGTGCAACCCTGATATTTATTTCAGTAAGTTCTTTTGAATGAAAAATTTCACCTTGTGCTTTATCAACTTGTTTTATTAATTGAAGCTATAACAGCTATAACGGAAATATTAAACACAGTCAACTCTCTATACCGAACTGGTATAAACTTTTAGTTCGTACATTCAGAGTTATTATAGAAAAGTTCATTGTAAAGATATCGAAAGTATATATGGTTAATAAAGTTATAAAATTTAGTGTTTAAAGTGTACCTCTTGAATAATTAGGGTGCGTTACTATTATTCTTTTTTTTATAAAAAAAAAATTTCTTAAATAATTTTTTATAAACTATATATATACTGTATATACGTATATACTTATTTAGTTAACATATTTATATTTATTTTGAGAACTTGTAAAGCTAGTATTTTCACGTATTTTATTAAAAACTGCCGTAAAAGAATAATTATATAGTTATTGCATACAGAAACATGCAATAACAGTTTTATTCAATGATTACTATCTCAGTTTATGAAATAAGATCAATAATTTTATTATGTAAGAAGTATTTTATAGACTGATCATAGTATAGTAAAACATTGAATAATTCTTTGAATTTAATACCAATAATTCCAAGGACTAAAGGTTATGAAGAAATGAATAAAAAGACTAATTTATATTAAATTTAATTTAGAATTTTTTATGCGCCACCAACCTGGCACACGTTCAACGTATTTTTAAGATTTTAGTAATTTATATTTATTTATATATATATATATGGGGGTGCTAGTAGAAACCAAGGAAATTGTTTTTTGTGAGTTTTTTTAAAATTTTAAATCAAAATATCTCAACAACTGGGGGGGAGTCAGTAGAAATAGGACAAATTTATCTAATAAATTTGTCCCATTTCTACTGACTCCCCTCCAACTATTAAACCAAACTTGATAAATTTTTTTTATTTTAATTTTATAACTATATAGAATTAAAATAAAAAAAAATTTATCAAGTTTGGTTTGATAGCTGTTAAAAAATTTTATTTTAAAGTTTTAAAAAAATTTACTTAGAACCAATTTGCTTGGTTTCTACTAGCACCTCTA